CTCTTGTAGTAGGAAAGACCACCCCTGGACAAAATTGTCAAGTTTGCTTTACTTATTTTACAATTCTCCTTGTTGGCCAGAAGGCTGACCTCACTACAAAATCGATGATATATCATTATACCTTGTGCAGATTATAATCTGTAAACATTACATTTTCTCCATAACCAATTCTTTGTACCATTCACATTTCTCGAAATAAACCGTAAGTGAATCGCTTTATTAATTTTGAAAAGTTTGCCTTTTATTCAGTGGTACGTTTTTTTGGTAACACGAAAATGTCCAAATTTAGGAGGTATCTAGATTTTCCAGGGATTTAGCTTTGCAAGTGTTATTAGTACCTGTTGTGAAGTGTCACAATACAGTATATGTATGAAAATATATACCTTTATACGTAAAGACGTTTTCAATAGCCTAAGACTAGGCTCCGTTTTTAATCAACAAAAGAGAAAACTTTCTTGTAACAAGAATGCGCCCACAGCAGCATTCAGGTGTCGCCTGCTTGGAGATTAGATTGAGAAATGAGGAGGCGATTAATTCTACAAGAAACAGCATTTATTCACGAAAGGTTTTTTTCTCCCTACTTTATTGCCATCGTTACTTTTTATTTGTTTCTAAATTGATTTAGTACGCGTGTTAGAGATGACCAAAAACACCTCTCTCGTAGTAGACTATACGTGTGTATAAATACATGAAAATTCAAGGGCCTCGATTCCAGAGAAATTACATCATTGCCAGATTTACATGGCACGTCATTTCAATCATTACCGAAAATAAATCGTATGCTGATCACAAGACTCATTTACATACAGTGAAACTTTACAACACCAGTGTATGAAGGCCCGTTCTGGTCAAAATTGCATGATTAATTTTTCCCTCTTGATGAATTAATTTGATGAGTACCTGCTATTAATATCTTGTCTGTTTGTAATTATTTTTTCCTATGCCTGTAATTATTTTCGTGTTCTTTTTAACTTTTCCATGCGTCACAATTATTTTTTCCTCACCAGGAATTAATTTTTTTATGTCCCGTCTTTATTATTATGCTTCTTTGAAATTATTTTTGTCCATTACACAAATTATTTTACGGTTGCGGATTAGTTTTTTGTGTGCTATAATAATTTTTTTTGGATAATTAATTGATTTTGTCCTACGTAACTCGTAATATAATGATAATTTAATTTTTTCCATTCGAGAATTATTTTTTTGTTAGTCATAATTATTTTTTCATAGTTTTGGCAAATGTCCCATAAGCTTCTACGGTAATGCACCTGAAACAAACATGGCGGCTCATACTCGTCGGTCACACCCAGTGGTGTTACGAGAGAGAAATGAACATGGGTTCGCGCTTTTCTTACAGAACTTAAAAAGCGTTCTTAATCTGTTGGCTAGTGCTGATGAGTTAGAGACAGACGTTCTGATTCAAACGAGGAGTCGATTAGTGGATGCTTCGGGCACGTTGTCATTTCTGCTGAATGACATGTCGAATGGTCTCACAAATGCTACTGGTATTCCGTCAAATGTGATTCAAGTTCCTGTGCAGCACCTGAAGAATTCTTTAACCCACATAATTGATTTGCTTTCAAGTCGGATAGAAGGCCGCAACAATGTAGACTTTTATGATTCACTGGACATATCTTATTCTGCACCACTGGATCTTTCACAGACAGGACGAGGTCATAAACGCTATGAAATAACTAAAGACCAACTCGAACACTTATGATCACTTTATTTTTCTTAGGAAGCAATTGCTGGCATTCTTCAGGTTAGTCTTTCAACCCTTCAGCGGCGACGAAGAGAACTCGGTGTGAACACCCCAGCCTATTCAGAAATATCAGATGACGAACTGGATGAAATTTACAGAAGCGTAACTGGCAGTTCAAGCACGGGACCCCTTACCCCCAACATTGGTAGGAGACGATTTATAGGAGCCCTGAGGAGTAGAGGCTGGAGCATTCAAAGATGGAGAGTAAGTGATTGTTCAAGACGTATGGATCCTGCTGGAACTGCCCTGCGCTGGAGAATGACTATTCACCGTAAAAAATATTATGTACCAACCCCTAACAGCCTATGGCATATAGATTCGGGCCACAAATTAATAAAGTACAAGTTGATAACACACGTCTGTATTGATGGGAAAACAAGGTTAATTTTGTATGCTGCTTGCAGAAACAATAACAAAGCAGAAACAGTCCTTTCTTTGTTTCAAAATGCGGTGCAGAAATGGGGGTTACCCTCACGCGTCCGATGTGACTACGGTATGGAGAATTATCATGTTGGTGCCTACATGATACAGCACCGCGGACCAGGCAGAGGCAGCATCATTACTGGATCATCTGTCCATAACTCTCGAGTTGAGAGAACACATCGTGATGTCTATTCTGGGGTGTTAGCATTCTATTCCCGTGTTTTTCAACAACTGGAAGATGAAGGCAACCAAGATGACCTAAATGATGTTCATATTTTCAGCTTACATCACATCTACATTCCAAGAATACAGAATTCTCTAGAGGAGCTTGTCAGTCAAATGAATAATCGGCCAGTATCAACTGAACGAAACCATTCACCACTTCAAATGTGGGAGAGGGGTATGTTAGAGAACTTGCACTCTGGACATACTGCACTGAGTGAGGCTGAAATTGAACATTTGGGGGTAGATCCAGATGGTGTGCTTTCAGTGGAGGTTGAGGATTATCAGGTAGAGATTGATCCACCATTGGTCAGCCTTTCAGAAGAACAGAAAGGAGAACTTTCAGATCTTCTCACAAATGATGGAAACAGTGGAAAATTTATTTACTTGCAATGCATTGAGGTCGTTCATGGATTTCTTTGCTCTAGTTAAGTATTCTAGGGTGAATTGAACCAATCACACAAACACTATTGTTGTATTACTATGGGCGATGTAAATCCCAAATGGGTCCATACTTGTATACTTCAGCAAGATTGTTATTGACAGTTGTTATTTGTACACTCAAATTGCATTTTTACTGTATTTTAATTATTACAGTACAGTAAAAATCCCATTTCAAAAATTCCAAGATACAAAGTGGCCTGCAAGCCATACTAAGGATGCCATTGCCCCTGTACTTTTTTTTGTGTGTGTGGTTATTAGGGCCATTGTTGTTGAGAAGTTCCTCAGATTAATGGACTGTCTACCTTTTACCAGTTCTACCAGTGAAAAACAGAAAACTGAAGTTTTGGTAAAATGATGTTGTCTATTAAAAGGCCTCACTTTAGAATATGTTATTAAATACTTTGAATTGTCCAACTGTTGTGTCTCGTGGGGTGATTACACTGTATCAGGAATCAATCATCAGTGATGCAATTTTATTTATTATGCTTATGCACTTAACCATCTCCTAGGGGAGACCTCCGGCGAGTACAGTGTTGTATAGAGACTTTCAGCGGGATTTGAAGAACAATAATATTATTTTACCCTGAAGGTTAGGGAAATGAAGGAGTTTTAGTATCCAAAAGTCATGTACTGCATGGACTTATATATGTCTGATTTAGGTAGTGTGATTAGGGCTAATTGTGTTTTAATCTGTTGCGTGCCTGTATGGTTGCCAGGAGGTACTCCTCGCAATTCTTGGTGGGGATGTGCCACTGGTTCTTGTAACCCTGACCTATTTCAGACTAAAAATTGCCACTTTTCCACATGCATTTTAAGACCCTACCTCAGAAGTGAACAAGAATAAGCTGTGAAACTTGAATGATATGTTTTACTCGGTTCTCTGTCTTGTTAATTCAGTTTGGGTTGAAAACGTTTACATTTGTTTGTTTTACTTCCAAACCGGGTATAAACCATACTCCAGTTAAAACCATAATGTGAAATCCTATGCACATTTTAAGACCAAAACGACTTCAAAACCACACCCTTAAGGGCGGCACATACCTATATTGCCTATATAGGAGAGTACCCCTCTCCCCCTCCTTGTATAGTTTTACCACACAAAGACTGAAATGGTTGCCACTATTGTTATAGACATTCTGTAAGTGCTAATCCAATCCCTAGTGGTACTTCATATTAGAAGCAAGACCACACAGTGACAATCTAGCCATGTGGCAAGTTGAAAAATCAGAATAATATTGTTGAAAAACACGTTCCCAATTATCTTTTTGTTATTATATTGTATTGTTCACAACAAATGAGAATAATTTCACAGTTAAAAACGTAATTTACATGATCAAACTTTACTTCTGTTAGTCAAGTCAAGAAAGCTCTGTACTCTGGAGTGTTTTCATGTTGCTGAACATGATCCCCCTCTGGGAGGGGGGATTTGATTGCCTGGACAACCCCATAAACAGCATCCTACACTAACTCCCTTCGCTTCCCTGGGTTTCCCTAAGGGATGGGTAGTGATAGTGCAGTACCAAAAGGTTATTGTTTTTGGTGGGAGGGTGATTGAGTTCCACATTAAATCACTTTAACTATTTAAAAAAGAGGATGAAACAAGTGTCCTTTGCTTGGTACATAACGTAGTGGGAAGGTTTTCCCCCTCAAATGTTCTCAATTGTTACAATGAACATTCTTTTTCATCTCTAGTCCTTGCTTTACGGGTTCAAGGTGACTGTTATGTAGTGTTTATTTAAGGTAAATTATATGACAACACACAGACAAATCAACATGTTTATTAACCTATATGACTAACAGTTACAAAACATTCCTTGAAGAAAGGAGTGTCTTAGGACACGAATCAATGATGCTGGTCACTGAAACTGTCATACTTAACATTAAGCAAGCTCCTATGAAAAAGTACTGTCCTTTCAAAATAAGAGGAGTTGCAAAAAGTATGTATCTCTACCCTTGGCAAATAACTGACCCACAAAATAATAACAAAAATGGCATTGTCAGTAAAAAACTTTAAATTCAATTTCTTCAAAAATTTTAAGAATAACATATTTTTACTTGCATTAATGAAGACAACTCAACTTACTAAATTTGGTGACTTTTTGATAACATAAATCAATAAAGCAATGTAGGCTTGTCACTCTAAACCATTTTACTTTTTGCCAAAGTAACACTGCGAGAATGCCAAGTCATACAGGGCAAAGAGTCTCTGGGTAGAGGGTAAAGGCAATGCATCAGTCGGCCTTGGAACAAGTAAATTGGTGCAGGTATGAGCTAGAGGCAGGAAGCCACCCTCCACATTTGGGTGTTGCCCTTCACTAAGTCCTTGCTGACTTGTAACTTTCAATTCTGTGGGTAACTTTCAATTCTGTGGGTAATATTGTACATACACATAAATTGTACATCGCAGTGTTACGTCGACGATACCAAACTTCTCATGTCATTTCAACTCCACGATCAGCACGAAACGATAGAAAAAATGAACAAGGACTTGTTAAGCATTAGGAATTGGTGCTTTGATAATCAGCTTTTACTCAACCCAGATAAAACAAAACTAGTGATATTCGGCAGCCGGCAAATGACTGCTAAGGTTAGCGACTTTAGGCTATTTCTATTGGGGAAGGAACTCGAGCCCGTTAAGGCTGCAAGAGACCTTGGTGTTACACTGGACTCTAACTTAACATATAATGAGCATATTGTTTCTACTGTATCCTCATGCATGTCACGTTTGGGCCAAATTAACCGCGTTAAGCATATTTTTAATAAACACGCGCTAATTATTATTATAAATGCCTTAGTATTTAGTAAATTATTCTATTGCTCTTCTGTTTGGAGCAATACTACTCAAACTAATCTGGACAGGCTCCAAGCAGTACAGAATTTCGCTTGTCGTATTTTTGAGCGGCGCTAAAAATTCGATCACATAACTCCTTTGCTAAAAGACTTGCGCTGGCTACCAATCAGGCAACAACTTTATTTTCGTTTTGCTGTTCTGGTTTTTAAGTGCATGACGAGTTGTGCTCCGGAGTATTTGACATCAAAGCTCGTTGGAAGATCCGCCGTCTCGACAAGGAATACGAGAAATTCTCAACTTTTGAACATACCACTCTTCCGCACTGCCAGCGGCCAAAGGACCTTTCAATATAGAGCAACCTCTCTCTGGAATGAGTTGCAGCCTGCGCTCAAACTCAGCCCATCCATGACGGAATTCAAGTGTTTACTCAGGCAAAAGCTTCTTAATGACTCCTTTATTTAATTAATTTAATTAATTTTATTGACCTTTGTCTTCTTTTTTCATTGTTATATTCTTATTGTCATGTACTTGGTTTATAATTTTGTAATGTAAAATTGACTCTGAAAAGCCCCGTGGGGACGAGCCAATAAAGTATGTATGTATGTGTATGTAATATGAACTCCAACGACGGAGCAAGCGTAAAACCAAGGACGGGTTCCTCTGGTGAACCAGTGGCAAATTGAAGAATATGACTCAAATTAAGGGTAGTCTTTCCACATACCCTCCTGGAAGCTGCTACTTCACGAACATATCTAACAAAGAGTTGATAAAGTTCTTTTTCCTTTTTGAGTGCATTAGACCCCTCCTCTGAAAACTGTGGCTTCAAAATCTGAAGCAGCATTTGCACTCCAAGCTTCTGCTGTCCTTGAAGTCTCAGGAGATGAATCAACATTGGCAGTTCCTGAAGGGCTGATAACATTCCCAGCACTTCGAGACCTTATTGAAGTTTGGCAACACAAGGATCCAAACACATGCTTTCAGAAACAATTTGCTGCAGAATATCCTCCTCTACAAACAAAGGCAGCTGGCCATTTTGAAGCATGGCTATTGCCATCATTATTCCAACATTAAAATAATCTTCTGCCAACAATGGCCTTAAACCATGGTCAAAGTATTTTTGTTTTATGGCTTAGTTCATTAATCTTTTCCATTCTTTTCGTGGCCCACCATAATCTACACATTCCTCTCCCATAAAGTCCACCTGGAATGTTAGTCTGTAGTTGGATATATATTGAAGTTCAGCAAATGTTGTTTCTAGTATATTGTCTCTGTCGACTGTTATGTAATTTGTTTCTCCTTCAATGGTGTCTTCTGAGCTTGTGACTTCCAAGGGTCTTCCAGTTACTATCTCCTTCTGTAGCTATTTGAGCACTTCTACGGGGTCACTCAACTCTCCCTCTTTAGCACCCCTGATAATTGACTTAATGTTCAAAGAACTTGATTGTGACTGACTCTCATTGGCATTGAGTGTTGAACTTTCGTCTGGATTAGAGGATTCAGTGCCATTTGCTGAGTTTTGACGAGACAATCCTACTCCATCTGGAGCATCAGTCAAGTCTATACACAAGCCTGGATCACCCGGATCACCTGTGTCTTCAACAGCAAAAGGAGAAACTAAAAGTTTTTTATCACTAGGATCCATGAAAGAATCTGGTAGCTCCTCTAGCAGTCTAAGATATACCCATCCTGACGGGGCAATTGATTTGAGTAGAAGCTTAGCATCAATGTCTTTTCCTGCAGGGAGATTTGGTCTTATCAGGGTGCCGCCACTATTCTTGACGATTTCAAAATACAGTCCCTCCATATAACCTGGTAGTAAACGTGATATTTCGTTGTGAAGTGTTTTGGCATCCCACTTTCTATTGATGTCAAAGCCCAAAGAAGCGTAATAATAAAGACGGGACATAAAAAAATTAATTCCTGGTGAGGAAAAAATAATTGTGATGCATGGAAAAGTTAAAAAGAACACGAAAATAATTACAGGCATAGGAAAAAATAATTACAAACAGACAAAATATTAATAGCACGTACTCATCAAATTAATTCATCAAGAGGGAAAAATTAATCATGCAATTTTGATCAGAACGGGCCTTCATACCCGAGCATCACAATTTTTTCAAACTTTTTTCCACCACTCACTTGCTCTAAAGTAATCAACGCTTTCAAGCGACAGAATTTGTGGACGGAGACGTTTCGGAAAAGCTCTAAATTTAATTTTTCGTAAGCTTTCTTTGCAAAACATGCATGGCTTCGATCACACAACGATTCTTAGTCCCAGATTCCATCGTCTTTGCAAGCAACGCCTGGCACAATGCCCTGCCTTTTGTGTCCTATAAAATTACCACCAAACATTCTGGGGTTACGTCCAGAAAAACTGGGAGGGGGTGTGCAGCCTCCTGAAAACCCTACCCTATTTCAGAACAAAATCTGTGACTTTCCTTACCCTATTTAAGACGTGATAAAAAATTTGATATCCTATTTCAGACCTGAAGGCTTGGAGTCTGGCGCGTGAAAGGAGCGCATAAGAAGCTGTTACAGGATGTACAAGGTAGTTGGCATAAACATTAAAAGGGAAATCGTCTTATCGCCAAATGATGAAGAAGTAGCTAATTTTTCTTAAAAACATACCCAATTCAAGACTAGAGTGCACTAACCATACCCTATTTTAGACCAAAATGGTCGAAATTGATACTCTATTTCAGAGCAAAACAACTAAAAAACACACAGTTTGGAGTGGCACATACCTATATAGTGTATATAAGGGACTACCCCTCCAGGGCGAAAAACATGTCGCAGATTATTAGTCTCACTGCTTACGCAAGTAAGACTAATTAGAATAATTTTCAGCTAAGTTTAATTACTAGTATTAATTTTGTGCTACAAACAGTACTTTCAACCTATAAAAAGATAACCAATCAAAGAATTAAAGCAAAAAGTAATCGCAAGGTGTATGTAAATATGTATTAAAAATTAACCTTGTCATTTATAGATAACACACTTGTACAAGTCTCTTAAGGAATTCTTTACTTTTTTACAAGGGTTTATTGTGTCTCAGAAAATCGCCTTGATGACTGAAATGTGTGAGCTATCTATATTTTAAAAACAAAAAATAAACAAATTCCCAAAATATTATGAAATTTATTAATATCAAATAATAAAAGTAGCTTATGTAATCAAACTTCCAATCAAATTTTTTGCATGATACCAAAAATAGGAATGCTGTCTCATTGAAAAAAGTCTAAGCACGTATACTAGCTTTCCAGTGAAAAGAACGAGTTTTTGTACAAAAAGTAAATTCCAGATATTTTTGTTCATTTCTAGTCCGCATATTGATTGATCAAAACTGTCAACCAATATGCTGTTAGCATATAAAATGCACCTATCAATGGTTTGCTGGTGGATAGGCGGAGGAGGGGGGGGGGCAACCTATGGGAATTAGACTTAGTAACACACATGTGGCTAGAAAATTGCACATCTTGAATGCCCCCAGCATGCACAATTTGACTCAGTCACAATCTTGAAAAGTGGAGGACTACGGAATAAGCACGTATACTGGCTTTCCAGTGAAAAGAAGGAGCTTTTGTACAAAAAGTAAATTCCAGATATTTTTGTTCATTTCTAGTCTGCATATTAATTGACCAAAACTGTCTACCAATATGGCGTTAGCATAATATAGATTTAGCCAGGGCTAAAAGCGAAGCTCAAATTTTAATAAATTTATAATTTAAGTCAAACAATAAACTTTTAATCCACAAATCATTTAACTTAATTTTGCGATAAATATTAGCGATAAAAAATCACGACGTTTCGACCTCTCCGAGGTCATTTTCAAGTGTATAAAAGTTCTCTAAATTAGCATAGATAAGTTAAAAGCAAGTTATAATAGATAAAAATGTGGTGAACGCTAAAATGTGATAAAATATGTAAAAAGTGCTAAAAAAATATTTATAAAGTCAAAAAACAATGGAAATAAAACAATGTTAACAAGAACTACTCTAAACAAATAATTTGGCGCGAATTGAATCGCACCGTTTGTTAAGTGTCGGTTTCAGTTCTTGGATAAAAAACATTTCAAAAATAAGGCAGTCAAATTTGTTCTGACACTTTCTTAAGATTCTAAAACTTTGTGCGATGTCTTCAGGCTCCATATCATGCTGCTCTCTGAGGTGGTTTCCGATTGCCGATCCTTTGTGTTCTTCAATTCGTTGGTGTAGGTGTCGGCACGTGTAGCCGACATAACCTGCATCACACAGGCTACACTGGAAAGAATACACCACGCATTGTTGACTCACAAGAGGCGGCTTGTCTTCCTTGACCTTAATTTCATCTTTGATCTTCCTACTTGTGTAAACTGGGCTGATGTCTGCGTTGATCTTCCTACTCAGGTCAGCCAGCTGTTTACGTACTACGTTTGCTGATTTCTGGTCTTTGAAGGGCAACACGATTCTGATTGGGGCTTCTCTTTTATCAGCCACTTGGGTGTGTGAATCCTCGGACACTTTGGATTCAATGAATTGGCGAATGGTTGACTGCACAAGGTCGTCTGGATAGCGCAGTCGGGAGAAGATCTCTTTAAGGCGTTCACATTCCTCGTGAAAAAACTTCCACGTAGACGAGAGTTTAAACGCACGGTTAAGCATGGTGTTCAGGAGTGACCGTTTGTATCTGGCGTCAACGTGACTGTGGTAGTGTAGTAGAAGTCCAGTGTCCGTTGGTTTTCTGTAAACCGTGGTGTCTAGGCGGCAACCATTCCTGATAACATTCATTCCGAGAAAGGGAAGCTTGCCATTTTCTTCGAGCTCCATTGTAAAACTGATAGAGGGATGACTCTCGTTTAGTGTCGTCAGGAATTCTGAGGCTGCTGTCAGATCCGGCATTACGCTAAGTGTATCATCTACCTCGGAGAGGTCGAAACGTCGTGATTTTTTATCGCTAATATTTATCGCAAAATCGATTTCTAAGAAACTACTCATTTAACTTAAGGGCACATTCATGTGACTTTTGAGGGAAAGGCTAAGTTATTTTAGAGTGAAACATCTTACATCGAATTGATAACCTTATATGTACACCCAAAAAATAGCAAACATCTTCGATCACATTCAAGATCACAGTAGATTAGGCCTCGAAAACAAATTCTTGGAAAACAAATCACGCCAAATTCTTTTGCGTTCGACAGGTTTACTTTACAAATTCTTGCCAACAAATCTGGGGGTGTTTAAACCAACCTTTTATAATTTTTATACACCACATTTGAGGTGAAACAGTACTATTTATCATACAGAGCTCGGACAGAATGCGGTGTTTCACAATTTTTCAAGACAAATTGCACTCAGTCAATATTCAGGACGAGCCAAACCGTTCAAAAATTTCCAAAAATTTCCAAAATCACTCATACGGCCAGCTGGTTCTCGTTTCTATAGTGCGAGCTGTCAGTGTGGTCGAGTGTTTGAATGAACTTTAACAGAGTTACGCTTCAACATAATAGCGAATTTATTATTATTTGTTTTGTTATTTAATGGTTTCCGTTATAACGATGTGTAATCTTATAAAGTGTTTGATACGCGCGACATTTTTGAGTACTCCGGCAAGCGATGGTCATGAACGATGAAAACAAACGGCACGGACAAGCGATTAAAATTGCAAGAGAGACTACTAACAATCAAAAAAACAGATATAATTCCATGAAACATTTACAGAGACAAGAATTTTCATTCATGAAGACAAGTATTAAAGTGTCTCTAAAAATCCTGAGTCTTTCAGCGTAAAGCTTAAGTTTATGTTTTAGCCGGCTTCCCAGCGCGGTGTTTACTGTTTTCGAAGGTGAACTCCTCGAAGCAAGAAAATCGCTCAAAGTTTTCTTTCTACAGCCAAATTTATAACTAAATATCCTTCGGAACGTTTTCTGTCTATTTGTGGTGAGCAAATATATCTGAAGGCTTTTTAAAGTTCTGTAAGCTTATATGAAACCTGCTACTAGGTCAGATCATTGACTCAAATCCTGCAAACGTGCATAAACTTAACGCATAAACTGTCAGCGTGAACAGTGCAAGACTTCATGAAACACAAACATCAAATACAATAATTACTTAGGCTTACCATTCGAGATTCAGTTCCTGAAAGCTATCAAGGGAACCACAGTTGCTTGAGACTTTTAAACCCTCTTACGCATTAAGCAAGGTGAAAAACGAAAACGATGCCATCCGAAATCGAATTACCGAATTTTGTCAAGCGACGCATTTCTCAACCAAAACCCGGTAAACAAACCAGCCATGAATAACAGAAGACTCTTGATAGCAGCTGTATTTCATTTTTTACCTCCAGAGGAAAAAGACAGTTAAAAACATCACAAGTTGACACAAAACTCTCTCAGCTTCAGCTGTCAAAGTAAACTACTTTCAAGGTGCTGCATAATTTTTCCGCATAAACTTACCTGTCAAATTTTGACCAATCAGAGCATAAAAATTGGACGTAGAGCGTGACCAACGCGTGACCATGGTAAGATAAGGTCTTCCCCGCCTGTACTTTAAAAAAAACTGGATGAATTTTCGCTTCCGAGGTCAGTTTGAAATCAAAATCCTAATAGTGCGGGGGCATAGTGACATAAACACAACATATTTGATATGAATCCTTGGAAAAAATAAACTTGAGCCTGCGATCATTTGAAACTGGTAATTTGTCAGCGGATAACTTTAAAAAAATACTTGACCTCGATGGGTCGACACTTGGGCCCGCGGTACGGCCAGGTGATACTTGTCAGCGGGTGCCCTGTTTTGATAGCTGTCAATTGATCACAACATTGATGTGCAGCCTGTGCAATTAGTTTTCTCTTGGGCTCCCAAACTAGCTAAAAGTGTGAGAGTAAACATTGGTTTTCCTGTGGTGCGGGCGGTCGGTGTACGGTCACGTGAGTACCAACTTTTCTGGGATGGGTAGATTTACTTAGCAATGGGGCTCCGCCCACGCGCGCGTGGAGCTCCGCTATAAAATGCACCTATCAATGGTTTGCCGCTGGACAGGCGGAGGGGGTGCATTAGAAATAAGTCACATTTAATAAGTTACAGCTTTTAAAATAAACAAGCTGCCGCCTTTTCTTCTCAAATCAGCTGAACAAGATTGCTCTCCAAAGGTCTGAAGAGGGAAGAGTAGTCTTCCGCTCGAATGTCTGTGCTTTGGATTGAGAAATGCTTGTGTTCAAGTATTAATAAAATACTTATCTGACAACTTTTTGTAAGTTAATTCAATTATGCTAACTCTAAAACAGTTTATCGTTTATTTTGTTGATAGGACAAAAGGATTTCTCGAAATTATGGACGCGGCCTCGTTGGGAAAAGAGCAGTGGTTAAAAAACTCATGCAGAACTGGGGTCGACGTATAACTGCCATTCCAATAATTTGCAATGAGGGCATTATTGACATTGGTATGTACGCGGGAAATGTTAACGCCGTGACTTTTCTGAATTTTGTTACTGACAAACTGTGTCCTAATCTCCTCCCATTTAATGGCAGAAATCTGCGATCGGTTGTAATATTAGGTAAGGGAAGTCTGTGAGGTATCATGTTCTATGAATTATCAAATTTCATTTTCTAATGCAAATAAGACGTGTATACTAATTGACTTTATTTCAAAACTGGCCGAACCCTTATTTAACATTTCTTATTTTTTTATTTGTTATGCCTTGTTACGCCGCAAAATGTAATAACATTGACGCAAAATGTAATAAAATTTTCAACGCAAAATGTAATAATCTTTCAACGCAAATTGTAATAACTTTTCTAACGCATAATGTAATAACGCAAAATGTAATAATTTCCGGAATAACTACCTGCATGCTATTTCAAAATCGGTATTGTGGCTCAGTAATCGGTAGCTGAATCGGATCTTCATGTGAATTATTATTATTATTATCAATATTGATGTTAATAATAGTAATGGACGATTATTCCTTTCGTAGGAATCTGTAGGAAAGCAAGTGGGGGTAGTAGGAATCGTGCAAGAATAAACCAATCAAATTTCCACACTGTTGATACGTCATCGTACACACAAAAATCGCTTTGATGGTCATACTGAGGACAAGGGGTCACAACATGCCGCCTAAGAGCAGAAAAAACTACAAAGGTCGTACGTAGTCCTAACGTACTGCGGTACATTGAGAGCTGTGGCAACGAGGGAGATGTAGGAAGCCTTCTTGCTTCTAATCTTGCTGCGGTAACAAGGCTTGCAGCAGAAAACGAGTCACAAGCACATGAAAAGACGGGTCGGACCTACGAGCTCCGGCTCATGTCGTTGGAGAAGTTCGCCGAAGAGAATGGCGATGATGACGTGTTGTTTGGCGGCAACAATCCCAACTTATATGCGTAAGTTTGTATTTAATTTACCGTTGTGTTATTTAAAGCAGTTTGAAGGACTGTGAGAAATTTTGTCATGTTAAGTCATTCAGGTTGACGCTTTATAACCTTAATTAACAGTTGAATACTCGCCTGACCTGTCTGAAGGTAGCGTAGCATGATAACCCACAAAAACCTTGATACACTTTTAAAGAGATGCATCATTTTAAGTTTTGTGTACCGAAACTGCCTGAGACTCAAATTATTTTAATTATTATGGTGAACTGCCATTGATATATAAACTCGACCGTCTGAGGTGCAAAGACAAATTGACTTTGACCGTGGCAAAGGTTTAACTGTAACTTTCAAGAGCCTAGATGGTTTGGTTTAATTAGATTGAAGTGAGGGGAAAAATTGGTTCATTAATGCTCCACTGAATGATTTAGCAGATTTTCACACGTTCGTCTCGGCAAATCGTGATGTGGGCGGGAAATAAATACACATTCATTCAATGGCCATGCAGAGCCTTTTTGCAGAAAGTTTGTATGGTTTTCATCACCGATAAGATCGTCGTTTGTATTTAATTCACCTTAACTGAATGTATCTTTTAATTTATCCTTTGGTCATGTAAGCTTCGGCTAAACGATCAAACATTTTCGCCCAAATGCTTTGCTATAGCTAAACCCGTACGTGGGTGTCAGAAAAGACAAACACCAGACCAAGTGACAGTAGCACGATTTTTGCTCATTATTGCTAATTTTTGTACGTTATGTGGCTCATTTGGTTGTTTTTTACCTGCTTTGTACGCTTGTTGGAACGAAATTGGAACGAACTGAATTTGGAAAAGCATTTCACATACAAAGTTCAGATCTTCAGACACGATGTTGTTGTGTGTTGCGCATTAGCGCTAAAAGTTCGACGAACTTCATGTTTAATCATGTTTAACGACGAAATAATGTTTAATCGGGGCATCAGCGTTCTAAAATTAAGTACCCGTAGAATTGAACGCTAGCATCTGAGTGTTATCCTTGAATTTGGTTATAAGTTAAATAAGATACCAATGCCCTAGGCGAACAAAAAGGGACATTCAGTATAATTCTTTATGCTCACTTCTTGCTGCTCCTTGATACGATTTCATTTTAACTGATTTTGCCCAGAATTTTCAAAGGCAATGATTATAATGATTTTCCAACCTTGTGTTGACAGTCAGTCATGCATGATAAATGACTGTGCTTTTACTGAAGCCATATCTTTTTGCCCACAGACTTTAAGATAAATTGTTGATTAGGGTCAGAACTGAATGTCATTGTCTTGTTTAAAAATTGGAATGGGCTATAAATATTTACGAGGTAGAAATATATTGTTTTTTGTTAATAACTTTTGGGGGTTGTGCATTATAACCTTGGCCTTACTGCCTTGAATAATAGCTGTTCCTCGAAAAATATTCCTTCTTTTGGTGCAACTTAATAAATTAATTACTCTTAAAACTGAAAACATTTTCTTTGATGAGTTTTCTCCCTTTAACACCTTAAATTGCCCCTTTTTGGAGCTGA